AATGTACTTTTTGTAGTGTTAATGTCCAATACCACAACTTGAAGCAGCTTCCGTGTAAGGAGGACAATCGCTTCTTTCTTCAATAGTTCCTGTAGGAACTGCTTGGGAAATAACGACAAGCGTCAAGAGGATTGCGAGAAGAAGATTTAATTTCATGATGTCTTAAGGAAGAAGGTAAGTGTAAATAATGAAAGTTTTATATAGATAATGTTTTTATTTTTTATCTTTTTGATAAATTGTTGAGAATGAAGATGGAAATGCGAGATTATTTATATTGCTGAATTGAGTGATCTAATGATCATTGAGAAATATTTCGGTTGCCATAATCAGATATTCCGATAATTAATTTTGATTGCAGGGTAAATTTGCCTATCGATTAATCTTGGATATATGCAAACTTCTACTAATAATCCTTATTTTTGTATATAATACATTATATTTAATTGTTATCTTAAACACATAAAACGAAAATTGAAATTCAACAGTGACGCACAAATGTTTATCAATTTAAAATTTTGTCTATAAGTTTTACTAAAATAGATTTAGAAGGTCAATTTTGACTTTTATGGGTAGTATGTCTTCGGTCTTTATAGAAAAAAAATAATGATCTGCCAACCTGAAATTTTTGTGACGCATCCGATTGGTAAAGGGGCCGATACATTTTCTAAGACCAAATTAGCAAAAGACCGAGAAAATACTGGTTTCGGTCACAAAATTCTTAATTGTCGGATTGGAATAAAACCAAATTTGGGTCTTAAACCAAAACTGCAGGACCGAGTAACCATCTTTAGTAGTATGTAATTTCACGTAAAAATGATGATTCGTGCAATCTGTGTATTACTAATAATTTAATAATGGACGATTAAAAAATTTTTTTATTGTTAATAAAGCTTGATTTCAGCTTTAACTTTATTTGTCCAAAGCAGAGTGGAGGATAGTGGTCAGATCCGTGAATACAAAATCTCGGATTTTTGGATATCAATTTTAGCTGATGGATAAGGAATTACGGATCTGTTATACGGTTAATTTGTGTAACTTAGAAATTAGAAGATCATTAAACGTGAAATAAATGACGCGCTAGACTAAAATAAGTAAAATAGGGTATTATTTACTCACTTATGTTTTAGTCTAGTCTTTTATAATAATATCTAGTGAGGAATTTACAAAGATTCCGCAGCTAGAAACCTTGATTCCTAGAGCAGGCGGATCAAAAAGGCCAAATCAAAGAGTATGTAAACTATCAAACCAACAACATCTAGCCTGTAATCAGATACAAACACAAATAGTCAGCAGGAAACTAATAGAAACAGTAGAAAGTTAAGAGAATTCCAGCAAAAATTAATTTAAATAAAAATAACTGAGCAGCTAGTTTTAATCCCAAATGTTAAGTTACAGAAAAGTTGAATATAAAGTTATTTCAATCAATATGAATCAAATGGACATACAAAAGGAATGTTAGGTGTTTAGTTCAAGTTCAACAAAAAAATGGTATAGAATTACATGATCATTTTATAGGCTCTGATAATTTACTTAGCAATTTTATTGTTTATTTTGTTATACATCAAATTATTAAAGAAAGTCATAAAAAAAATAAATGAAATATAAAATAATAACCAGATAACACAACCTTATATAAATGAGATAATATGAAATAACCCAAATATTAAAAATAATTGAAACTGAAAATTTATTGGAATTTTAATTAAGAATTATAATATATACAAAAATGAAAGGATTATTAAATTTATTTATAAGTTTGATCTAAATTATTAATTTCTAAGTAATAAAATAATCTAATTAATTATTAAATAAAGTATATAATCAAATTAAAGCTTTTTTAACAAGAATATTTAATAAATATTCTTTCTTATTTTCTAATAACAAATTGTTGAATAGCTTAAAATAGATTTAGTTACATTGGTATTACATACTTTTTTATTGATAATAATTTTAAAGTTTTATAAAATAATTTTATCAGCCAAATATATGTCTTATCCCTATACTAGTGCTAATATTTGTAGAATTATATGTAAAATTATTTCTGATTGGAATCTAAATAATAAGGTTTTTACAATAATGACTAATAATAGTTCAAATATAGTTCAAGCTAAAAATTAATGAGTAAATTTATATGATTACCCTATATAATATACACCTTACAATTAATTATAGAAAAAAGTTTACTTATTGCTAAAGTTTTATTGCAAGAGCTAAAATAATGAATAGAAAATAATAAGTAAATTAATAAGTATCTTAAAAGATTTTACTAGAATAATTGAATACTTAGAGGAAAGCAATTATATAACAATTATTTTAAAATATATCTTATTAATCAGTGAAAAAATTATATAATGTATACATGTTTAATCAAAACATTTCATTATGACTTGATTTTTTAATGATATTAGATAAGGTTAGATGTCTAGATTAATAAGTGTATTTATCAGCTAAAGATACAATATTGAGTTCAGACTTACAAGACGTATTTTCAATAAAGTTTAACAAAGTTTATTCAAACTTACAACGCGTTTCAAATAATTAATAAAGTTTAATAAAGTTTATTTTGAATCATATATAGATGTAGTCGAAAATCAGCTTTTATAATATTTACTTCTACCTAGAAAAAAATTTTTTTACTTTTAATAATAACAGATAATAAATAACAAGTAGAAGAACATAAAGTTGAAATTAGAAAATCTTTTCACTGATAGCAAGATATGTGATATAATCAAAAGTCGACTTTTAAGAATAGATATGAAGAACTGACTTGAATATTTTGAAGGAAATAAAGAAGAAATTAAAGCTTCCCTTAATACACTTCTATTAGGTAAAGTTAAACTTTTTTTGATCTTTATTACGTGTTCGAATTATAACGATAATAAATAAACTAACTTTTTTTAATAATCTAACATTCTAATCCAATTTAGATAAATATTAAGATAAGCCTTTGCGCTAACCTTTTTTGCAGAATTTACTAACATTTTTTCCTTCCCAAAAAAGAGTTTCAGAAAGAAGATTTAAGAGAGATTATAAGAAGTGCTGTTCGTGAAGAACTTTTTCAAAAAAATCCTGAAGTAATCTCTGCATCAAAACTATCCAATATTAAAATTAAACAAATTATGAATAAGATTAGGATAAGAACTATCATTGTAAGTTTCTTATCAGATTATTGTATTATTTATAACCCTTAATCACTTATCACTTATCTATTAATCAGCTATGTGCGAATAACTTCAATTCACTTGAATCTAGAGTTCCGAATGAGTCGAGTCGAGTCGAGTTTAAAGATCAACTCGACTTGACTCTCTTTTTTCGAGTCGAGTCGAGTCAAATTTATTTTATAAA